TTTTAAAGGTTAAAACCTCATTTAATTTTATGTCTTATAGGATTTATACTGGATACAGTATTGTATAACTGTAATAATTCAACTGTAAACCTAAAAATGTACAGCGAATTTTGTAAAAGATGCATCCTAGCTCAGAAAACTGTTACTGAATATGTCAATGCTGATGTAATGAAATGCTTCTTCTAAGTAGGTGGTTATTAAATAAATAATCTTTAAAATAGTAAACTTAGTTTTCAACATTGTAGGAAGTCTACTTTTGATGCTCTGCATCAATAAGGCAGAAAGGATATTCTAGACAGAAATCCATCCAGAACTGAGCTATTTCATACCAACAGCAACTTTAGGGGATGGAGAGCTGGCTCAGAGGTTATGAGCGCTTATGCTCTCCCAGAGCACCTGGGTTCACATGGTATCTAATAATCATCTTTAACTCCAGTTCTAGTAGAGCTGACACCCTCTTCTGGCTTCTTGGCATGCACAAAGTGCACTCACATACATGCAGGCAAAACATTCATACACAGAAGATAAAAATAAATAAATTCTTTAAAAATAACAGTTCTATTCTCTGAGTGGATCAGACATTTTCAGTAAATATTCAATTGGTAGAGGCATCATTGTGTAGGCGTCTATCAATAAGAAAAAAAAAATCTTAAGGTTTAGAAAATAGCATGAGTATTCTATGTGCATCTGAGACTTGATCAAGTCCCTTTATAGACACAGCATTCTGCTGGCTGCAAAATGAAAAGTTAATATGATCTATGGATTATTGATATAAAGAACTTTGATAATTAGAATCAGCCCAGGAAAAGGCACAAGGACACAGGGAACAAGAGTGCTGAAGCATCTCTGGCCTAGCTGAACTTTTCCTGAGACTTAGTTAATTTTAGGCTATTTATAGATAATTATACCCATATTATTTATATTCATTCACATATGTGATCCATATATACTATGTATTTTTTTCATAAGGAAAAAATAAAACTATTAAAGACAGCAAGTAGCTTTTAAAAAGTATTTTATTGATTATTTTTATTTTATGTGTATGCGTGTATTGCCTGCATGTATGTAAGCGCACCCACGTCATTCAGTGCCTGCCGAGGAGAGAAGAGGCTGTCAGATCCCCTGGAACTACAGTTACAGACAATTAGCTGCCATGTGGGTCCTAGGATTTGAGCCCGAGTCTTCTGCAAGAACAGCCCTGTTCTTCCCGCTGAGCTATCTCTCCAGCCAAACAAGAAGCTTTTCAAAAATGTATTTTAAGCCAGAAAATTATTCAGTCAGTGTATTTTAGATGGAATATTTTTTTTCATTTTATAGTAGTTCATAAGTTTTTATTGTTAATTATAGAATAGGAAACTGTTGCTCTAAAGAAGAAAACACTGTTCATAGATATCGTTCCTGGAAATGACAATGCGCAGCTAACAGTGGTCAGTATAGTGAACTGGAGCTCAGATGACCTCTTCCCATAGCCACTGCAACTTATGAAATATTGTTTACTATGGAGGAGAAATTACACACCAGTTTCTTCTTAGAAGAGCCGCTGGGCAAAAGGAGAACATGCATTTTTTATATTCTAATTTTAACTTTCTATTTTTCTGTTTACTATCAATAAAAATATTTCAAATATTTTTCTTGTTTTTATCGGAAATACTAAATAAGCTACAGGTAAATTAACAACATAAAAAATGTACCTTCCCTAATATAGTTTGCTTTATTTTTAAAGATGCTTTACTTGAAAAGAGAAACAGGGACTGGAGAGATGGCTCAGCGGATAAAAGCACTGACTGTTCTTGCAGAGGATCAGGCTTTGGTCCCAAGCCCCCACATGGCAGCTGACAACCATCTGTAACTCCATTTCCAGGGGGATCTGATGCCCTCTCTGGCCTTCATGGGCATTGTATGACATGGATGCCCTTACATACGTGTAGGGAAAACACTCATACACATAAGATAAAAAATGATACTAAATAATAAATAAAATATTTTTTTTAAAAAAGAAAGTACTGTGAAATATGTTGGCCATTATCAACTTAGTTTAACTGAAATGTTCCTGGATTCCTCAGTCCTACTGTCTCTTGTTTAAACCACTAGAACATGGCTGAAACGACTACAACTTCCATCACCAAGCCCCCTCAGGCTTTCCTGCTTTTCCTATCAGAAGCTCATAGGGAACTCAAGAGAGTTCTTAGAGAGAGGGTCTTTCCCTCTCAGTTTATCCCTGTACCTTTGTGAATCCTTGAGCATATAGAAGATGCTCAGCACAAATTTTAGTTGAACTGAATAGGTGTTTGCTTTTATGTGGTCATATCAGAACTCTAATAGTTCTGAAAGCCCATCCAAACAATGAGAAAGCTTCATCTCAGAGTGGCTACATACAGAACACAGACACTTCTATGTGTTTGCAGATGGGTATAAACTGGATTAAAAGGCTCAGTGAAAAACTCATGCATTCTGATGTGCATATGAACATCTATGTTGCATATAGGGATAGCAATAATGTAGGGTAAACAAGTAAAATGAATTAAGAAAGAGATTTTGAAATCAGAATTAAACAAGGAGGTTTCACAGTCAGTCAAAAGAACCTTTTCCTAAACACCTATTATATAACCAGTTCAACTCAGTAAATGTTCACTTGGTACTGACTGGCAGAAGTTACTGATTATGAGGATAAAGGAAATTGATTTAGAGATGAAAAAGAAAAGAAATAAGAGCAAAGTATTTGAATTTTGTTTTTTAAGAAATATTTATTTAATTTATTTTATGTGTATCTATGTGTGCCTGATGTCTATACGTGTACGATGTGGGTGCAGGTAGTTGTTAGCTGCCATGTGGATGCTGTGAATCGAACTGAGATTCGCTGGAAGAGCAACAAGGGTTCTTAGCCACTGAACCATCTCTCCAGGCCCTTGAAACTGTTTGAAATTTGTTAAAATATATCAGGGATGGGACTGCAGAGATGGCTCAGCAGTTAACAACACTGTTCTTGCAGAAGACCTGGGTTCAAATCCCAGCACCCACATGGCAGCTGACAACTGTCTGTAACTCCAGTCCCAGGGGATCCGGCAGCCTCTTCTGACCTCTGTAGGCATTGCACGATATGGGTGCACTTTCCTACATGCAGGCATAACACTCGTGCACATATAATAAAAATAATAAAATATTTTAAAATATATCAGTGACATATTTTTCTATTCTCCCCCTTTCTCACTCAACTCCAGTTGCCCTGGCTTCCTGGTCAGTTTGTAAATATACCAGCCTTGCATTTACTTCATCTGGGTTAATGTACATCTGATATCTAGATGGCTTCTGTCAGGACTGTGCATAGATATCATCATATTCAACAGCTTTTTGTGATCACCATAGATAAAACAACAGTGCTTCAAGGTCTCTGACCCTTTGTGTGCTTTGTTCTGGTTTTCACTTATACTTCATATCATGTCATACATGTTATTTATTTAATCTCTTCCTTGTTTCTGTTGTGTTACTTCATTTGAGCTCCACAAAAGGTATGAATATTCTTTTGCTCACTGGTCTATTCTAAATGCTGACAGGCAGAAGGTAAATGAAAGAAAGAATAACAAGAACATGAAATTTGTTCTATTGCACAGGGACTAGCGGCTGGTCCAAGCTATGGAAAAAGTATGGATCCCGCCTACCCAAGGATGACCTCTGCCAGTATGTCACATCGTCTGATGTCACTCAGATGCTGGACAGCCTGGGGATTAAGTATGAGTGTCATGACCTTCTGTCTACTATGGACATTACTGACTGTTTTATTGATGGTGATGAAAATGGAGACCTGCTTTGGGATTTTTTGACAGAAACCTGTAACTTCAGCACAACAGCACCACCAGATCTTAAAGCAGAAATTATGAAAGATCTGCAAGAGCCTGGATTTAGTGTTAAGAAAGAGGGGAGAGTTCTTTTTAACAATAATCTGAGTTTCATTGTGATTGAGGCAAAACTGTAAAGCATGAGAATATTCACAACATATTTTGAACAATTGCTGGTTTCTCTCTCTCTCTCTATATATATATATAAAACAATACTTATATGCTAAAGTTAAAATACATTCATAATGAGGATACAGTATTATATCTTATAAATTAAATCTAGAAATTCCAAGACATTCTTGGAGTTCCATGCAGAATCTTCCAGTTGTATTCTGTCCCTAAAAGACTAAACACTGCCCCACTGGTTCTTTCCATTTTCTTATTGTGCTGAAAATTTTCAAAATAGTAATAAAATATAGGCTATAGATTCTTTAAGTACTAATAGAGTAATATTTGTTGATGCTTTTCTCATTAAGAAAATAAGTATTTATTCTCCTATAAAGAGCTGTTTGTATATCTGCCATGTTGTTGCAATCATACTTTTTATTAATATTATTACAAAATTGGGGATTGGAGAGGTAGTTCTTTCAGAGGATCCAGGTTCAGTTCCCAGCTCACAATCACTTATAACTCCAGTTCCAGGGGATCTAACACCTTCTTGCCTCTGAGGTCATCTGCATTCATGTGCAGATACCCACACTCGGATACACATCCATACACATAATTAAAAATAAATATCTTAAAAAAATTATTACAGAATTGAGTCTTTGGGGCTGGAGAGATGGCTCAACAAAGAGTACTGGCTGCTCTTGCAGAGGACCTGAGTTCGGTTTTCAGCACTCACATGGCAGTTACCAACTGTCTGTAACTCTAGTCCCAGGGGATTCCACGCCCTCTTCAGGCCCCTGTGGCCATTGCATGCTGCACATGGTGCACTTAAATACATGTAAGCAAAACACTCATACACATAAAAATAAATAAGATATTAAAAAAGAATTGACTCTCTCATGTGTTGTCATTTCTTTCCCATCTTGTTTTCTTTTGTAAGTTACCTATAATTTAATCACATTTTATCATTTAGAGATAATGAAAGTTTTGTATATTGTTCAAGTAAGTTTAGTTATCCTTTTCCCTTTTTAAATTTCTAATATTTTATCATTAATTTATAAGTTTAATAAATCTTTAATATGTTTGAAATTTATGTGGTACTTCAGAGTAAGGTTTAAAACAAGCTGTTTTCTCCCAAATAATAGCCACTTGTCTAAATGAAATTTATTGAAAAGGAAAAATTCAAAATCTCCACTGACTTGAAATGTGCCACATACTGTTTATTAGTTTTAAAAACAATCTTGAATTAATTTTGATATTTTGATGTTCTTCATGTTGCTTTACTAGATTCTCAAAAGTAAGAGGTGTCTTTGGACAGTAAGATTACAGGGAATGGGGGGTTTATTTGATGTTCCTTGTTTTATTTTTAGTAATAAGCCACTGTTAGTCTCATTAAAAACAAAATATTTATTTATATTAGTAAGTGACTTCATAATTCACAAATGATGTCTATAATAAGCAAATAATACTTTGTATCAAAAACAGAATTTGAAAGAAGGATTTTAAAAGTTCATGGGCTCTGATTCTTAAAAAGATTTTATGATTTTTATATTTTATGTGGATAAGGTTTTGTCTGCGTATGTCAGTGTGTGTAGTGCCCCCAGGGGCCAGCACACAGAAGAAGATGTCAGATCCTCTAGAAATGGAGTTCAAATATTGTGATCCACCACGTGGTGCTAGGACCTCTAGATGAGTAGAATGTGCTCTTAACCACTAAGCTCTTTCTCCAGCCCTGACGCTGATCCTTGACAGTACAGAAGTCTTCATTCCTGGATGATACTCAGTCTTTCTCATGAAAGCATAAAGAGTCAGTGCCTATTCTTAGCTCACAGCTGATCCCCAGAGAGCACACTGCCTCAGAGTCTTCAATTAGCAGATTACCAAACTTTGTTTTATAATAAGTAAAACTGACTTACATTTTTCTCTTTTCTTGAACAGCTTCATCAACATTTTCTTAAATTTAAAAATACGTATATAAGCATATACAGTTATATAAAGAATATAAACATGGCCTTTGCTACCCTGTGCTGTACAGCTTCTGGCATTCTGGTGCCAGCACCTTTCCTGGGTAAGTCCAGTGATGCCCACTGTGCCTTGACTCCCCCAGCATCTTTCACCCTCCCAGCTCCCCTGCCACCTCTCTCCTCCTAGCCTGGGTACAGGCCCATTTCTTGTCTTGGCATCCCAGACACCGGGGCTAACCTCTGGGCCCAGAGCCACCATTGCTTCCTGATCCTTTGCATCCAGACCAACCCAGGTACACACTGCAGTCCCCAGGAGCCCTCTGGGCCTGGTCCCACCCTCACCTCCATTTGCCTTCCTGGGTTACATAGCCTCCAGTGTCCTGGTGCCAGCACCTTTCCAGGGTAAGTCCAGAAGTGCCCACTGTGCCTTGACTCCTCCAGCCTCATTCACTCTCCCAGCTCCCCTCCTAGTCTGGGTACTAGCCCATATCTTGCCTTGAAACTGCAGACTCCTGGACTGACCTCTAGGCCCAGAATAATCAATGCTTCCTGATCCTTTGCATCTAGACCAAACCAGCTCTTCCCAGTAGTCCCCAGGAGCTCTAGGGGCCTCTTCCCACCCCCACCTCCCTTTGCACCAGGGCTAACCTCTCTGACTGGAGCCACCACTGCTTCCTGACCCTTTGCATCCAGACCAAACCAGTTCCTCCCTGTGGCTCCCAGGAACCCTCTGGGCCTGGTCCTGCCCTCACCTCCTTTTATTTCCCTGGGTGCCACAGCCACCAGCTTGCTGAGACCAGCATCTATCCTGGGCCCTGCTCCCAGGCCAACCCATACTCCCAAATCCTGAGGGCACCATCTTTCCTGGAGGAATCCAGACCTTAGGAGAAAGCCTGAGAATATTTGAGCCTTTTCTCACATGGGCCTCTGTGGAAACTCCTGAAACAAAAGCAATTTGGCCACTCAAATATAAAATCAAAAGAGAACTGGAAGCTTAGAAGAACCAGCTTTTCATGGCCAAAAAGTAAACCATAAAGGCACATAAAGTTTACAAAAAGAACTAGACCCAAACTCAACAAAAGAAGGCTTGAATCTCACATGAGAATCAGAAACTATGAAAGAAATTCAAATGTCAAAGTCATAGAGAAAAAATAATAACATGAAAAACCAAAATAATATATCCTCACCAAGTTCCAATAGTCCTCCAGAGGAGTACAATGAGAACCCCAGGACATGGAAGTCAAAAGAATAGTTATAAACATGATAAAAGAATTCAAGGAATTTAAAGAACACACAAAGAAATCAAAGAACTGAAGGAAGATAGGGATAAACTTCTGAATGAATTCAGAAAAAAGTTGGAAATATTGAAGAATACTCAGGCTGAAATGAAAAAGGAAGTGAAACACTCAGTAAGCCAATTAGAAATGACAGGAGAAAGCCTCACCAATAGGATGAATGAAATGGAAAACAGAATATCAAGACTGGAAGATAAAGTGGACAAACTAGACCACTCAAGCAAAGATTATGAAAAGTTTAAGAAAGCAGAAGAATGGAGTATGCAGGAATTGTGCGACACCATAAAAAGACCAAACTGACAAATCATAGGCATACAGGAAGGAGAAGAATCTCAAGATAATGGCATGGACCAGATCTTCAACAGAATCGTGGAAGAAAATTTCCCAAAATTAAAGAAA